TGGCTGCCTGTCGAATGTTCTCAAGGTCTTCACAAAGCCCAGAGAAGGCAGCATCGGAGACAGCAGCAGCAGCAGCAGCTGCTGCTGCTGCTGCATCATCAGCTGCCTCTTGGTTCGGGCGTGGCAAACCCTCAGGTCTGTCTCCTGCTGCCTGCAGAGTTCCCCCGTCCTCACATCCGTTGCTGCTGCTGTTGTTGTTGCTGCTGCTGCTGCCGTTGCTGTTGTTGTTGCTGCTGCTGCTGCACCCGGAATGCCGCAGAGCCTCGAGGCAGAAGGCAGCAAAGGAGTGCAGCAGTGAGGCAAGCTTCATCCGGCCCTGCAGCAGCAGTAAAGCAGCAGCAGCAGCAGCAGTGCAGCAGCAGCAGGAAGGCAGCAGCAGCAACAAGCACTACTGAGGTTTCTCTATGGGAGAAGCAGCAGCAGCAGCAACACCAGCAGCAGCTGACCTGAACGAAGGCTCCAAGGGGCGCAAGGGGAGGCGGGCTGCTGCAGCTGCGCGGCAGCTGCATGCGTCTGCTTCTGCTGTGCTGCTGCAGCTGCATCAACGAGTCGTTCCAGCAGCAGTAGGCCCTTCGCAGTGCAGCACCGAGAGCAGCAACCAGCTTCTCATCTGCTGCTGTCTCTCCACTTTCTGCTGCTGCTGCTGTTGCTGCACCTGCTGCGGGGGCAGCAGCAGCAGCAACAGCAGCCTCAGCATCGACAGCAAAAGCCAGTGCCCTCAGCCACGGCTGCGAGGCAGCAGCAGCAGCAGCATCAGCCAGCGCATGCAGAGCAGCAGCAGCAGCAGCGTGCTGCAGCCCCGTGACAGCAGCACAAACCGCTGCCCTATACAAAACATTGAGAGGCATCTGAGGCCTATATGCCACTGCAGCAGCAGCAGCAGCTGCTGCTGCTGCCGCTGCTGCAGTAGGTGTAGGGCGCCCCCCAGCAGCAGCTGGCCAGGCAATCCCGTGCAGCAGCAGCAGCTGCTGCAGCAACAGCAGCAACGCCGAGCGATATGTTCGAATCCACTGGAAGTGCTGCTGTAGCGCCTCCGACTCTTCCTGCTGCTGCCCTGCTGCTGCTGCTCCTGGTGCTGCTGCTTCTGGTGCTGCTGCTTCTGGTGCTGCTGCTGTCACCCGCCAAAAGACGCAGCCGCCAGTCTGCTGCCGCTTCTGCTGCAGCAGCAGCACGAAACAACGAGGCCCCTGCAGCCCGGGCACAAAGCAGCACTTGAGGTGTCTAGACAGCTGCGCATACTCAAGGTGCAGCAGCACCAGAAGCACGCTGCAGCTACTGTTGCTGTTGCTGTTGCTGCTGTTGCCGCTGCTGCTGGTGTTGCTGCTGCTGATCCTGCTGAGGTGCTTGTCCTGTTCTCCAGACACCAGAAGACCTCCGTCCCCGCAGCTGTGCTGCTGCAGCGACTGCGCTGCTGCAGCAGCGGCAGCAGATGCGGCAGCAGAAGCCACTGGCAGCAGCACCAGCTGCTGGAGCACATCTAAAGAAAGGAGAGGCAGCAAACAGAGGGGTAGAGACCCGTCAAGAGGAAGCGACACAATGCGCACCTGCTGTTGCTGCTGCTGCTGCTGCTGCTGCTGGGGCACGAGCTGCTGCTGCGGAATGCCAAACGCAGCAGCAGTAGAAGCAGCAGCAATTGCTGCTGCAGTTGCTGCAGCGGGAGGCAGCAACACCCTCGCTACTCTCCGGGCCAGGAGGGGACAGCGCATGCAAATGACAGCGACGGTGCGACTGATAGACAGAGCTAGAGCCTCCTGCAGCAGCAAACAAAAACAGAAGCAGCAACAGCAACAGCAGCGGCAGCTAACGAAACCAGCAGCAGCAGCAGTAGCAATAGCTGCAGCTGCAGTAGCAACGGCGGCAGCATGCTGCGAGTTTCAAACAACTCAAGAGCCACGCAAAAACCAGCAGACACAGCAGCAGCAGCAGCACCAGCAGGAGCAGCAGCAGCAACAGCAACAGCAACAGCAGCAACAGCACCATTTCTCACTCGCTGGCCCTCTGGTGTCTGAAGAGATAGGGGGCCCCTCGTGCTGCTGCTGCTGCTGCTGCTGTTGCTGCTGCTGCTGCATTCCTCTCGCAAGGCCAGCAGCAAGCTGCCAATTGCCTGGAAGACAAGCACAGCCATTTCATCTTCGGGTTTGCTGCTGCTCTTAGATTGCTCCTCTCCAGACTGAAGTTGCTGCTGCTGCTGCAGCTGCTGCTGCTGCTGCTGCTGCTGCTGCGCTACAAGCTGACAAGAGACTATAGCAGCAAGGACGCGGACAGGGAGGGGCTGCTGCAGCGATATCACGAATGGCAGCAGCAAATGCCGCAGCAAGTCCCCCGCACCTTCACTCTTGCTGCTGCTTGTGCCGTTGCTGCTACTGCTGCTATTGCTGCTGTTGCAACTGCCGCCGTTGCTGCTGCTGCCGCTGCTGCTGCTGCTGCTCAGGAAGCCGTTCAGAGGAAGGAGGCAGCAGCGCAGGTGCAAAAGAGTCTGTGCAGCAGCCGAGTCGCTCGTCCTGCCATTTGCTGCTGCTGCTGCTGCTGTTGCTGCTGCTGCTACGGCGTCCTCAGCTGTCCCCACAATTGTTGGTGCTCGACTTGCGCCTGCGTTATCGCTCCCGCAGTGCGCTGAAGCAGCAGCAGCAGCAGAAGCAGCAGCTGCAGCAGCAGAAGCAGGTGGAGGGCAGGCATTCCGTGCTGCAGAGAGAAGCTGCTGCGTACGCTGCGTGGTGAGGGGACATGCCGATGTCTTGCAGCAGCAGCAGCAGCAGCAGCTTTTGACGCTCTTCTTGGCGCTGCTTCTGCTGCTGCTGCTGCTGTTGCTCACGACTGCCACTGCAGACCCCTGAGGAGCCAAGCCCAGATGTGCCGCCCCGCTGCTGCTGCTGCTGCTGCTGTTGCTGCTGCTGCTGTTGCTGTTGCTGCTGGCGCATGTCTCCTGCAGCCGCATGCGTTTTAGTGGGCCGATGTCTTCAACTGGCATACGGTGATGCTGCTGCTGACGGTCAGCCAGTTGCTGTTGCTGCTGCTGCTGTTGCTGTTGCTGTTGTTGTTGTTGCTGCTGCTGCTGCTGCTGTGGCTGTTGTTGTTGCTGTTGTTGCTGCTGCTGCTGTTGTTGCGGCAGCTGCTCTTGTTGCTGCTGCGGTGCACTGATCTCCAAGTCAGTGGGAGACAACTCGCCTTCCTCTACTTGGCTATTGTCCACTTGCTGCCGTTGCTGCTGCTGCTGCTGCTGTTGCTCCTGCTGTTGTTGTTGCTGCTGCTGCTGTTGTTGCTGTTGCTGTTCCTGCTGACGTTGTTGCTGCTGCTCCTCTGGCTGCTGGTGGTGTTGCTGGTGCTGCTGCGGGTCTTGCTGTTGCTGCTGCTGCGGCTGCTGCTGTTGCTGTTGCTGTTGCTGCTGTTGAGAGGAGCGTAGAGGCAGCGACCTGGCGATAGACAGCAGCGTAGACACCGCATTTGCTGCAGTAAGCACAGTGCCGCTTGAAGCAGCAGCAGCAGCAGCAGCTGCTGCTGCTGCTGCTGCTGAGCTTGTCCCCGTTTGAATGGGCAACGGCGGCGCTCCGCTTGCTGCTGCAGTTTTTGCTGCACTTCCTGCAGCAGCAGCGGCACCGGCCGATGACGCTACAGGAGCAGCAACAGTAGCAGCAGCAGCAGCAGGGGCAGAAGCAGCAGCAGCAGGAGCATCCGCAGCGGTTTCAGTCAGAAAGCCTTGCTGCAGCTGCCCCTGGCTCAGCCGTTTCTGCTGCGAGGTTGAGGGCGAATTGAGCTCTTCTGATTGCTGCTGCTGCTGCTGCTGTGAGGGAGCAGCAGCAGCAGCTGGCTGGGCTGATCTGCAGCAGCGGCAGCATGAGCAACTGGCTTGCTGCTGGAGAGCGCCGCTAAGGAGGCCCAGAAGAGCAGCAATAGCAGCAGCATCTGCAGCAGCAGCAGCAACACGCAGCCACCGCACGACTTCATCGTGAGGAAGGAGACACAGAGCTGCTGCTTCCATTGCTGCTGGTGAGGCAGCAGCTAGGGGTTCGGCTGGCTGTTGCTGTTGCTGCTGCTGCTGCTGCTGCTGTTGCTGTTGCTGCAGGCCTGCAGCAGCAGATGCTGCTGCTGTTGCTGCTGTGTCTCTGCCTGCTCCAGCGCCCCTGGATGCTGCAGCACGGGCTAGACGAGCCTTCAGCAGCTTTTTCCAGTGGTCGCTGCTGCTGCTGCTGCTGTTGCTGCTGCTGCTGCTGCTATTGCTGCTGTTGTCACTGGTGCTGCTGCTTGGTGCAGCACTGCCAGCAGCAGCAGCAGCAGCAGGAGAGCAGCAGCAGCAGCAGCAGAGTGCATCAGCAGGTACACTTGGGCCTCTGCGAAGCCGCCGCTTCCTGATTAGTGCTGCAGCTCCTGGCGCCGTTACTACAACTAAGTCTTGCTGCTGCAGCAGCAGCAGCTGCTGCGCAGCTGCGGCTGACACGGAGAGGGGTCCTCCTGCTGCTGCTTCTGCTGCTGCTGAGCTAGCGTTGCTCCCGCTGCTGCAGGCAGAGGCCGTGAGGACACTACGTAGGCAGCTAACCTGAAACGCCAAAGTAACAGCAGCAGCAGCAGCAGCAGCAACAACAGCAACACAGCAGCAGTACTCGTCATCAGCGGCAGCAACTGCAGCAAAGGCGAGATGGTCAGCAGCTTTCTGCTGCCTCTTAGTGCTCTTCTTTTGCGTTCTCTTAGTCGCATCTCTTGCTGCAGTTGTTGCCGCTGCTGAAGCAACCGACGGTGCAGCAGCAGCAGCAGCAGCAGCTAATGGTGCTGCTGCTGCTGTTGCTGCTGTTGCTGCGTACCTGCAGAGGGGCTAAGAAGGGGCTGGTGAGGGCGAGTTGAGTGGCAGCGCGCATGCAGCTGCCGATAACACATAAAAACGGCTCAGTATGCTGCTGCTGCTGCTGCTGCTGCTGCTGCTGTAGCTGTAGCTGCTGCTGCAGCAGCACAGCACACCTGTTCGCTAAGGCCCACAACACCCTCAGCGCCCACACAGCCACAGTCTGCAGCACAAACATACAACCATGAAAGCTTTCTGCTGCTGCTGCTGCTGCTCTTGCTTTTCCTGCTGCTCCTGCTGCTAATCCTGCTGCTGCTGTTGTTGCTGCTGCTGTTGTAGCTGCTGCTGCTGCTTGTACTCATTTCCACGGGCAGTCGCTTCACGCAAAACACGAGCAGCAGGACTAGCACTGACGGCGGCGGCGGCAGCAGCAGCAGCAGCAGAAGCAACAGCAGCAGCAGCAGCAGAAGCAGCAGCAGCAGCAGCAGCAGCTTACGGGGAGCAGCGGAGAGACGCATCCGAAGGCAGCAGCAAGAAGAGACAGCCGAGTAACCAGCGGTGGCAGCGAGCGCAGCGTGAGACACTGGAGGTCCTCCTGCTGCAGCAGCTCTTGCTGCTGCTGCTGCTGCAGCAGCAGCAGCAGATCAGCGCCCGACGGGGACTCGCCAAGAGCTGCACAGCGACGCTGCAGCAGCATGGCCTGCTGCAGCAGCAGCTGCTGCTCCGCTGCTGCAGCAGAGGGCAAGACAGCAGCAAGACATAGCCGCAGCAGAGAGACACACAGATCCCCAGAGAGATAGGGAACAACAGCAGCAACAGCAGCAAGAGCAGCACATGCTTCTGCTGCAGAAGCGGAAGTAGGGGTGTATAGCTGCATTTCGGTGTTGCTGTTGCTGTTGCTGCTGCTGCTGTTGTTGTTGCTGCTGCTGCATAGGGTTTCGCTGGGGCACGAATCAGCCGTTGGTGATTTGCGCACTGCAGCAGCAGCAGCTGCAGCAGCAGCAGCAGCTGCAGCAGCAGCAGCAGCAGCAGGTGCAGATACACCCCAAAAGCCGAAGAGGTGCTGCAGCAGCAGCCACAGGAAGTGCGGCTCTTGCAGCACAAGGGCAGGTAACTGTCGCAGCACCGCAAGGCCTATGAGCCTCAGTTGCTGCTGCTGCTGTTGCTGCAGCAGCAGCAGCAGCTGCTGCCGCACGAGAGCAGCAGCAGCTTCCTGAGTGGGGAGCAGCAAAGCAGGAAGCAAGTGGCTGCAGCGGTGCAGCTGCCTATACACCTCAACCCTCACAAGCACATGCTGCTGCTCCTGCAGCAGCATGTCTAGCAGCAGCACGATACACTGCGAGGGTATAGAGCCGCCAACTATACTGTAGGGGCAACGCGGTGTATCCGCAGCAGCAGAAGCAGCAGCAGCAGCAGCAGGTCTTGAGGCTGCCTGGCCGTGGGGCGCAGCCCCAGACTCTTCTTGCTGCAGCAGCTCCAAGCGTTCCTGCAGCAGCAGCTGCTGCTCCGTTGCTGCTGCCTGGGTGTCTCTAAGCAGCAGCAGCGGCTGCCCCCCCCGACGAAATGCAGCAGCACCAGCAGCAAACAGCAGATGCCCTAAATCATGAACACACTGCAGCAGCTGCTGCAGCGGCAGCTGC